TGTCCCCCTTGTGGAGCGAGCGGAGGAGGCGGCCGTAGTTGTGGGGCTTCAGCAGCAGCTCCTTGAGGAACTGCCACAGGTGGATGGGTTGGCCAGCGCAGGATGAGTCCACCTTGCTGTCGGCCCAGCTGGTGTCACCTCCTGCCATGGGAAGGGATGGGTGAGATGCAGGGCAGGAGGGACCTCGCTGCCCTGCACCACCCCAGGGACCCACAGAGTCCTGCTCTGGGAAATCCCTGCTCCACATCCCTGGGTCTCTGGAGTCTCAGCCCAGCACCGCTTCCTCCTCCCCATCTTGGAGCAGGGAAAGCAGATCAGTCCTGCCCTGGTGCAGCCCCCTGGGGGTGCAGGATGGGGCTGGTCAGGGTCTTGTGGCCATTTCCCCTTCACTGAACCTCAGGCTGCCCAGGGGCTGCTCCAACTCACCGCAATATCTCACATCTCCTGGGGCAACTTTTTCCTTCATCCAGGCAGCTGGAAGGGAGGAGCAGGAGGTCAGAGGGGCTTCTCCTGCTGCACAGCATTGCCCACCCTCCCCAGCTCCCCCCTGCTCCCTGGCACCTACCAGACTTCCAGATGTCCAGGTGGGCGTGCAGGATGTCCCCGCAGGCTGGTGAGCGCTGGCAGAACTGCTCCTCAGACATGGCACACAGGTCCTTTCCTGACAGCTCCTGGAAGGACTTCCCGATCTGCGGCAGCCGGTACTGGTGCTCTGTCCACAGGATCCACTTCTGGACGTTGCCAGGGCTCCAGTCCTCGGGGTCTGGAGGCAGAGGGTGAGCATGGCCAGGCACAGCCCGGGGAAACTCAGCTCACCCCACAGCACCCCGGGAACCCGGCCCCTCCTGCAGCATCACCCACCGGGGTGGGAGCACCTCAGCCCTTTCCTGCTCCCCAGGGACAGGACCCTCCCCTCACCACTTCCTTTTGCAGCCCCACTTGCCCCCTGCCCCATCCCAGTGACACCAAATGCTTCAGGGGAGAGGGTGGCAGAGCCAGCAGAAAACTACGTGCATCCTGAGACAGTGTCACACCAGCCATGTCCCAAGGGGGATACCCCAGCAGTGCCCCATGGCTGTGACACCCCAAGGATACCCCAGCAATGCCCAGGTGCAGCAGAACCCCAGAGAACTGGCTGTCCTGCTCCCCTGGCACCTAACCCCCTGCCCCACAAGTCAGGTAACACCAGCCTGGCTCCAGCCTGTCCCCAGCCTGTCCCCAACCCCACACACTCATCTGCCCATTCCTAATATCCCAGGGAAAACCAGATGGAGAAAAGGTAACCCAAGACCTGCTTTTTGCTCCTTCTGACCACCCCCCCCTCCCCAGGGTGCTGAAGGCACCTCAATAACGATGCCAGGGGCAGGGAAGGGACCCCCAGAGCAGAGGCTCAGCACAGGGTCACTGTGTCCCTGCATCCCCCCAGCTCTGCCACAGCAGCGGGGTGACCCCGTCACCCCACGCCCAGCAAAGGGCTCTGCTGACCCCACCCCAGCTCCCAGCCAGTGAGGGCAGAGGGGCATTTTGCTGGTGTCCCTGGGTGGTAGCAACCAGCCCTGCCCCAGAGCAATGCCCGGGGGAGCTGAGCAGCAGCTACACTCCCCCAAACCCCAGCTGCAACCCCCCCCAAATCGCAGCAAGGCTTTAGTGCCCACACCAGCACATCCCTCCCTCGCTGCACCCCCGTGGTGGGGCTGACCCTGCCCACAGCCCCCCGAAGGAGGGCAGCGGGGCACCCACCTGCAGCAATGTTGAGGAGCTTGCAGGCTGTCTCGATGTCCTTCAGCACTTCTCCCACCACCATGCTCTGCACCTGCTCCAGCGAGTGCTCCTCCAGGGGCAGGCTGCCCTGCAGGTCCCCCTCGGCCCCCAGCCCCAAGCCTTGGCTGTCGATGATGGGACATTGCTCTGGCTCCTTCTGCACCTCCCCTCTCCCTCCCTGGACACCACTTTGGGAGGGTTCCCCCATGCCCTTGGTGGCCCAGGCGATGTCCTCCGAGTAGAGCATGTCGAAGTAGTGCAGGCAGAAGGCAGGCAGGGGCTGCTCGGGGGTAGCAGGGGGGCTGGGGCTACCCGGGCAGCTCCAGCTCCTGGGGTTGGGGTCCCGGGGGGGGATCAGCAGGGCAGTATCTGGCTGGGTGAGGTGGTGGGGGGGCAGAGCTGTCCCCCCGGGGCTGGCACTGCCCATCCCTCCACTCAGAGCCGGCTCCAAACCTGCCAGGAAGAGGAGGAGAGGAGATGATCACCCCAGCACTGATTCCTGCCTTCCCGCCCAGCACTCAGGCACAAAGGGAGGAACTAAGCCTGTTAGAGGGGGGAAAATAAACCTCCAAAGAGCCCTGTGGCCCCCCCGATGAAGGTGGGCACGGGGTCAGCCATGGGGCTGGGGGGGCTGCCCTGTGGGGGGCAGGAGCAGCTGCAGCAGCTGGCAGGGAAAAGGAGCAAGAGGGTCCCAACCACTGTGGGTTTTTAGGGTCTTTGCAGGAATTACACAGGGGGTTGGCAGCAGTTGGGTCCCCACTGTGGCTGGACACCCTTGCTGGAGCAGTGGGACAAGCTGGGGGGCTCCAAGGTTCCTACAGGGGGTTGCCAATGGGCATCAAGTGCTGTGGGATTCCTGAACCACAGGGGAATGTTTCCATGCGTGGGGAACATCACCTGCTGTTTCCACCCAAGGATGGCCCAGCACAACAGCACCCAAACCCAGCTCTCCCACAGCACCCAGCTGCCAACTCCCAGACAAGAACTTTCCTTTTACTCCCTAGTATCAAAAACTAACCCAAACCTGCCCGTCCCCATCTGCCTCTGGTACGTGGGGAGTCCTGGAGGCTGCTGAGGAGAGGATGAGCCTGCTGAATTTCCATGGCAACACCAGGGAATGGCTCCATCCATGGAGAAAACTCCCCAAGAGCCACCCTGAGGCTTTGGGAAGAGAAAGACCCTGACAGGGGAGAGGCAACAGGAATGGCCAGGGCGTGATGGGCACAGCTGGGGCAGCCCCAAACCCCTTCCCTGCCTCCAGCTCTGCCGAGCCCTGCTGGGCCCAGCTCTGCTCTGCTCATCAAGCACCAGTAACAGCCACAGGCTGCAGCCTCCTCACCCACAGGGATACTGGTGGGATGAGCTTAAAGCATTCACTGGGGATTTTCTGCCCCCCAGAAGTATGATTTTTGAGGCTCTACATCACCTGCAGCTCAAGGAGGTTCTGCCTGTCATTTCACCCTTGGAAAAGCCCAAAAAGCTTGGGAAAACAAACATGGGAACTCTGGGCACCTAAACATTAGCTGCTGAGCCAGCCTGACCCCATGGGGAGCTGGGGAGAGGGCACAGGTTTAGATGCAGGAATCCATGTCCCTGGGGGGGTTTGGTGGCAGCACAGTGAGGAGGAGGAGGAGGAGGAGGAGGAGGGAGAAGTGGTGCTTGCACCACTGAGCTGCCCCTGCCACCCAGTTTCCCTGAGAGATGGCGTCAGCTTCCAAACCTCTCCTTGATTTACTCTGGATTAAAAGAAGAGCTTTAGCAAAGCAGCCCTAAATCCAGCCTCACGCTGCTCGCGGCGCAACAGGGAAGAGGCAACAGCTTGCACAGCTCAGCCTGCTGCACAGCTCCAGCCAGGGGAGGGGATGGGGGGGCTCATCCCCAAAGCTTCTGGGGTGCTTGGGGGTCGTGGTGCATCCCCTGCCCGTCCCACCCCCACCGGGCTCTGCTCCCCAGAGCCAGGCAGAGGGAGGAGGGAGCCAACCCTGGGCTCCCCATCCTCATCCCCATCCCACCCCCTCCTCCCAGCCAGGACCAGAAGGACCCCGATCCCTTGGGAAGTGTCCCCAAAAGCCTGAGCGATCACCTGTCAAGCAGGGCTGTACTCTCAGGGCGGGACGCTTGTTTAACTTTCTCCCGGGCTGGCACGCAGGCGGCCGGGCTGGGTGGGGACCTGTTTGCTCTAAGAAACCGCTTTGGGCGGCTCGTTCCCTCTCCTCTCTTTTTTTTTGCCTTTCCCTAGAGAGCCAGAGAGGCAGCCCCAGCCACACCAGGATGCTCAGAGGGAGCACGGACCCACGCAGCAACCCTAAATCCTTCCCCTTCCCCACTGGAGCTAAACGGGGCTGTGCTGGTAATTGGTGCTCCTTGGCTTGCACGTGCCAGCAGTGGCAAGCAGGGCTCTGATCCATTGGGCTTTCCACCAGAACTTGCTCCCAGCCAAGCCAGGCCAGCACTGCCCTGCACTCCTCCTGCTGCTCCAGGTGGGAGGGGGATCAGGGATCAGCTCTTACCAGGTTTATACTGAATTCTCAAGCCCACCAGGCCCCTGAGGTTTTGCTTTGGTGGGTGCACGGGGGCTGAGACACAGTGACAGGGGCTCAGCAGCACATGGGGGGGCTCTGGGGGTGCCAGGGAAGAAGGGTGTGGGACACCCACCCTTGAACCCCTGCCAACCCCTGGTCCATGCATGGCCCTGGCACAGGCAGGGAAGGTGCACACCCCAAACTGGGAGGGAGCTGTGGAGCCCCTCGGGTGTTTCTCCATGTCCCACAGCAAAGCTCAACCACCAGTGTCCCAGTGCATGGCCAGGAGGCTCCTGCCCTTTCCCAAATGACAAGTGACCTTGCCTGGCTCCCCATGGGGACAGAGGACACCCCAGCCAGCTGGGCTGGGCAGGGGGTGCTCAGCTCCCCTGGGATGCTGCAGCAAGGGGCTGAGCTGCTGGCATGAGGGCTCCTTCCCCCTGGAAGCACCAAGCAGGGTGAAGAGAAGGCTGAAGGGCTCCATCAGCAGCTGGAAAACCAACCCAGATGCTCCCTTCAAGCCATGGGGCCTGCAGCAAGCCCAGGGGTCTGGGTGGTGCTGGGTCCATTCAGACCCTCTGGAATCAGTGGATGCCACAGCCCAGGGGGGCAGGGATGGGGACAAGGACCTGGTGTGACACCCCAAGCTCTCCTGGCAAACAACCCACCAGCACTCAGGGTTGCAACACAGGCAGCAATGACAGGAGAGATCTGGGATCAGCCCTTGGGAGCAGGAAAAAAAATAAATAAGTGAGAAATCCACCCACCCCCCACCCTCAAACAATGGGTCCGTTAATTAACATTAAATCTGCGGTTAAACAGGTTGTGCCGGAGCGCGGCTGGGGAAGCTCCGTGGGACCCAGGGTTGGCCTGCTGGGGGAGAAGGTGCTGCCTGCAGCACCCAGGGTGTCTCCCAAAGCCTTTCCCAGGCAGCTGGGGAGGTGAGCCAGGCTGCAGAGTCATGCACGTGCTGTCCAGGGAGGAAGCAGAGATACATGAGATGCAGCGCAGCAAACCAGGACCCTGGGGCGGGAGAGGATGGGGGTCCCACAGACCCAGCTGGGATTTGGGTGGTTTTACCCTGTTTTTCTGGTCTGATTTGGCACCTTTTTCCCTGACCACATTCCTGGGCTCAGCTCACCACCTCAGTCCCCAGAAGAGGTCAGCCCATCAGGCCAACCACACCAGGGACAGAGCCAGCCAGCCAGGTGGCTGCCAGCCAGGAGGGGACACGAGACGGTTGATGGGGCCCAGATGAAACAGGCAAAGGGAACCCGAGGTCCCCACACCAGCCAGAGATGCAGCAGGTGGTGGGTGCTCGTGGCTGCTGATGATTTGGGGTCCTGCCAGAGTGTCCCTCCCAGCCCTGCCAGCCTCACCACACCAGCCGTGCCACGTCCCTCCCTGCCCGCCTGTGCCACGCACCCCCTTTATCTCTGGGTGGAGGGAGGAAGGATTGGCCAAAATCACCCTGCAGCCAGGAAAGGGGCTTGGGACAGTGCCAGGGGGGAGGCTGGAGATGTGACAGCCCAAAGCGAGGTCTAGGGACATGACAGCCTGGGGGTCTTGCTCTGACTCCCTGCTTAGCAATGGGGTTGAGGCCAGGAGTCGTGTTGGATGCACACCCAGCTGGGCTGCAGCTCATCCCGGGGGTCCTGGACCCCCAGCACCTCCCTCCCCAGCCTTCTCCAACACCGCCAAGGTCCCCACAGCTCCTGCTGCCATTACCTGCATGGGTGCTGGTGCAGGGACTGGGTGTCCCCACAGGTCCCCACGCCCCGGGTCAGGCTGCCCTCTCCATCGGTGCGGGGAGGCAAACAGCAGTGGGGGGGACGGGCTGGGCACAAGGCACCAGTGGCCTGAGCAAAACCCCAGTGCTGGGTGCCCCCCAGGTGAGCAGCAGAGCTTGGTGTTCCCCATGCAGGGCCAGGGAGCCCCTATTTATAGCAGCACCTTCCTCCCCCTCCAGCTCCCTGCCCATGAGAAAGCCCGTATTGTGGGGGACTTGGCAAGTGAGCAGGGTTTGTGTTTTACTGTCCAAGCAGAACCACAAAAATCAAACCTAGAGCCAACGTGTCTTTAGCATTGACAAAATAATAATAATAATAATAATAATAATAATAATAATAATAATAATAATAATAATAATAATAATAATAATAATAATGATAAACCAAAAGCCAGTAGGAAAACAAAGCAGCTCTGAGATGGTGCAGGGCTGGTAAAGGGGTTCAAAGCGTTTTGGAGAGACACCCCTGAGCTGGTAGCTCCTCAATGGCTGCCCAGGACCTGAGGTGCTCTATAAAGGATCCCAGTTGCTTATCAGTCACCCAGTTCCTCAAAGCACATTGGCTCCCGTGCCCCAGTGGGCACAGGAACCCACAGGACCCTCCCCAGCGACCCTGCTGGTACAGGGTGGGCTCGGGATGAACTGGTCCCAGAAGCCCTGACTCCCTTCCCACCCTCCTTGCTGGAGCAGGAGGCACAATGTTGGGAAACCCCATTTTACTTTGGGTGCCACCATCCCAAGAAGAGCCAGGAACCTCCAGCCAGGGGACAACCTGTCCCTGTTCAGTCCTGGAAGCAAGAGGAGCCCAGGGAGGGATGCTGGCAGGGACAGCACCGTGCCTGCCCCGAACGGGTGCAAGAAAAGGGCTGCAGGGAGCCCGGGAGGTGAGTGCTGGTGGTGTTGGTGTCTCGGCAGCAGCGTGGGGCTTACCTGGAG